GAAATTCAAAGTAACCCTGCTGCCTCAGCCTCCTAATTGCTGGGGTTACAGGCATGAGCCACCATGGCTGAGTTCTTGTCTTTGAAACTACTGATTATGGGGCTGAAGAGGTGACTCAGCTTTAAGACCAATTGCTGTTCTTACAGAGGAGTCAGGTTCCGTTTCCAGCACTTACAACCACCCATAATTCCAGTTCCAGAGGCTCCAGTGCCCTCTTCTGTCCTCCAGGGGAACTGTATGCACATTACGCTTATACACACATGCAGGGAGAACACTCATACACATAACGTAAACCTTAAAATACACTTCCTGAATACTGATTACTTCTTTGCAAAGCAGACCCATCAAAAGGTTCCTTTATGTATTTAGCTGTTTATTTTGTATTTTACATTTATTTGTTTATTGGGGGCATGGGGAAATGTGCCACAGTATACATGTAGAAACCAGAGGACAACTTGTGAGCTGCCATGTGGGTGTTGGAAATTGAGCCTGGGCTCTCTGAAGACCAGCCAGTGTTCTTAACTGCTGAGCCATCTTCTCCAGCTCACAGAGGACAGCTTGTAAGACTTTGTTCTCTCCTCCCCCTGTGTGTGTTCCAGGGATAAAACTCAGGTTATCAGCCTTGACGGCAAGTGCCTTTAACCAACGAGCCATCTCACTAGCTCAAACCGTCCCTTGAAAGAAATATTTTCACAGGACATTTAAATAAGATGGGTGTGTTGACAAAACTTTCAGGAGCAGTACTTAATTCGACCATGAACCTCTCTGGAATGTTCCTCTCTGGAGCCCGTGATGGTTCTTTCCTGGTTGTCTCCTTTGGTGCCTACCTCTTTCTCTGTTCCCTACCTCCTTCCTAAATTAGACATCCACCCAATGCTGCTGCTGCTGCTGCTGCTACTGCTTCTTCTTCTTCTTCTTCTTCTTCTTCTTCTTCTTCTTCTTCTTCTTCTTCTTCTTCTTCTTCTCCTCCTCCTCCTCCTCCTCCTCCTCCTCCTCCTCCTCCTCCTCTTCCTCCTCCTTCTCCTCTTCATGTTTTTGTTTGGTTTTTTCCAAGACAGGGTTTCTCTATGTAGCTCTAGCTGTCCTATAACTAGCTCTGAAGACCAGGCTGACCTCAAATTTATACTTGCCTTTGCCTCCCAAGTACTGGGATCAAAGGCGTGAGATATCATGATTGGCTAGAAATTCTTCAGTTTAACTATAAATTTTTTTTAATTTTCCTAGAGACAAGATGAGCATGCCACAGCACATGTGTGGAAGTCAGAGGTCAACTTGTGGGAGTTGGTTCTGTCTTTCCATCATGTGGGTCTGTGCAGGTGCTTACCCACTGAGCCATTTTGACAGTCCCCCACCCCCACCCTGCAAAGTACTTCCTCTTAGACTTATCTCTTCATCCTTTCTCCTGAGTAACTGTCCCTAATTTCCTTTGTCACCTGTGCCAATAGTAACAACCACTAACGATTACAAGATGCAAGTTACTGTGTTCAACTCTGTAATTTAATCTCCCAAGAAAGTCTCCTGGAAGAGACCAGCATTGTCTCCACTATAATACACAGAAAGCAAAACAAAACCAGAAGCTTCAGAGGTTAGGCAACTAGCACAAAGTTACCAAGCCAGAGAAGGTGAGTTCACCTCACAGGTCCTGCTGACACTAGGTGATGCTCTTGGATTTCATGCTGCTCCATGCAGTCTCCGGGACACTCTCTCCAAAGGAACAGAGGCATCTCCACCAGATACGAGACAGTAAGTGTTGACCATCAGACAATGGAGTACTCACTGACATGTTTGTAATGCCCAAAAATGCTAGAATACTTCCAAACCCTGCTAGCTGATACCCTGTTCTCTCTCCTGGAAAACTCCTCTGGCAGGAAGTCCTCAACACTCATCAACCCAGCCTGGAACTGCGGAGTGAGCCTGGACCTTCAGGGCCAGCCTGGAGCTGCGGGGTGAGCCTGGACCTTCAGGTCCCTGGGACAGCGGGAGCTTTGTACACAGGCCTCTACAGGTGTGACACCTGACTAAATATTGTTCATTGTCACTTCTCCCTCCTCCTTCTGCCTTCACAAACCAGTTCCTCCTCCTGACTTCCTCCTTCAGGACACCCCCCATCTCATTCTCCAGTTCCCCTTCCACGGAGCTAGCTCTAGGCTCCTCTCCTTCCTTCTGCTGCTGACCCCCAGTTGACTGACCTAGCCTGTGACTTTCATTATATCTAGCACTGTGGTTTCTTTATCTGCCTCCTTTCCCACCCACGGTCTCCACCCTGGCATAGGCTTCCCTAGTTCAGTTTCCTTGGTACCATCTAACTACCCTCCATCCCCAGACCCTTCCTCCCGCCCCTGTATTCCTGTTCTGTTTCTAGTTTTGAGACAGAGTTTGACTGTAAAGCCCAGCCTGGCTTGAACTTTCAATCCTCCTGCCTCAGACTTCCGGAATTATTGACATGTGCTGCCACACAGCCACACAGCTGTCCTCTATATTCTTGAGGTCAAACACCTATAGCCAAAACCTTCCCTCTCAGCTCCCCCCTCAAAAAAAGCAAACAGTGGTGGCATAGACTTTTAATGCCAGCACTTGGGAGGCAGAAGCAGGCAGATCTCTGTGAGTTCAAAGCCTCCTTGGTCTACAGAATGAGTTCCAGGACATCCAGAGCTGTTACACAGAGAAACCCTGTCTCAAAATCCTTCCTCAGGAGTTGTATATGTTCCCATGGAGACTAAGACAGACTTAACCCCAGTCAGTGTCACATCTACTAGAGAGAGCACTTTATAGAGGGTAAATATTTCAAACAAGTTTATGTTTTCAAGGTTTCCTGCCTAATCCAATTACGACTTTCTCATTCATGACACAAAGTCACTGTTACAGCCTCAGCTCAGTCAAGACTTTGTCACTGTTCCCTAAAAGCATGACTACTTGGCAAGCGGCCTTTCTTCTCCCACAGCCCCACTCTATGCCCTTTCTCCCAGGTCCTGATGCCCCAGTCAGTCCCAGCTGCCTCAGCTTAAGCATACACGATGCAGGCATGATAGCGTCACTGGGGCTTCTGCTGACACTGGGGCCTCTGCTGATGCTGGAGTCTCTGCTGACGGTAAATTTTGCCTACCCAGCAGAAGGAGAAAGGAAGACTCTCAAGAATAGTCATGTGATGGCCCAACATGTCCCACACCCACTGCAGGCAGACATGTACTCTGGGGTGAACACTCTCCATGCCACTCTCTTGGAGACACTTGGGGGAACAGATAGTGCATGCTCTGGGGCCTTGAGAATGTTGCTTAACCTCCCTGTCACTCAGTTTCCTCATCAGTAAAATACCATGGTGAGTCAGTTCCCTCCAAGGGCAACTGGGAGGTTTAATGTAGTAATGTGTGTAAAGCATTTAAAGAACCAAATAATGTGCATGGTAAACAACACAGTCCCTTTCGTTATTCGAATCAAACAACCTCAGGAACTAGAGAGATGGACAACAGCTTTGCAAAGTGTTACTGGGATAGCAGGTAGCTTTTAAAAGTAGACCAGAAGCTGACAGTGGTGGAACATATATTTAATCGCAGAACTCAGGAGGCAGAGGCAGGCAGATCTCTGAGAGTTCAAGGCCAGCCTGGTCTACAGAGCAGAGTTCCAGGACAGGCTCCAAAACTACAGAGAAACCCTGTCTCGAAAAACCAAAAATAAAGATAAGAAAATAAAAAGAAAAGAAAGTAGATCAGAAACTCCCCCGCCACACACACACACACACATCGCCACCACCATCAGCACCAATCCTAGACCTTCACCCTAGGTCTCCACTCAGACTCCACTCTGCCCCTCCTGGCCATTCCTGCCAGAGTGTACATGGGACAGTCCGGGGCTGCCAACAGCTTCATAGGATGTGAGCCACCACTCTGGCTCTGGGTTTTTTAGGTGAGTTGGAAGGAAAGAAAAGAAACTATGGCTCTTAGTGCTGGATGCTGGGACTGGTGGAGAACGGTCCTGGGTCCTTAACTGAACTCAAGCTAAGATATCCAGAGTCGAAGGATAACAGCAGTCCTTTCCTTGACACTTTTGACTAAGCCTGCTCCAGGGCCAGATGTGCTGCAGACACCACCACCCCCACCCCTCCGGGACTGTGCGACATACCATCCGCTTAAGCCTCTGTACTCAAATATTAGGGGAAAAATATAAAAAATAAACACTCTGCTGTGAACTGTACACAGGTCTGTCCTTTTTTTCCATGGTATAAAACGTCTGGAGATTCCCCAGGCTTCATAAGAGGACCAAGTAGGTTCCCACTCCTTGCTGTGATGGCACCCCAGCCTTCCTGTCAGTGCCCCCAGAAGAACGTCAAAACCTCAGGCAAATGGGACACGATAGGCTCTAACTGTCCCTGGGGTCACGGCAGAAGAATGGCACGGTAGGCAAGTCTGAAGTTAACGGAGGACCAGGCAGCGTTGTTAGAAAAAGGCTGAGTCCCTTAGTAACTGTGGGTCAATTTTTCGTGCCCTGCCTTAAGAACGAGGGGGCTTCCTCCGAGTTAAGGGGAAAATAGGCCCTTGGAGGGTAGTTATAGGGTAGCAGAATGAGAAAAGGGTGTCTAAGTGAAGCGGGGAGAAGACCTGGTACCTAGGAACCACCAGCTCCTGGGTCTCACACACACGCGATGGCCGCCCCCGGGTGCTTTGGGGGAGGGAAATCAGAAAGCGGGACTGTCAGACAGGGCAAGGCTCGGGTCGAGAAGCCCAGAGTGATCGCTCACACCCCCACCCCCACCCCCAATCCCGGTTCTCCCGGGTCTGCGGGACTCGGCTTCGGGCACCCGCGGGGCCCGACGACGCTCCTCCTTTCGGGTTTCAGTTTTCAAGCATGAGACGGAGGGGTGACGTCAGGTCCCAGGTGTTCCAGGGAGTGCGCGCTCTTGGCACAGCCAGCGAAGCCCCGGGAGTGGACTGGCAGGGTAGAGGCGCACACCCAGGGCTCGCTCCCGCGTGCGCCGGGGCCGCTCGCCCTGCCCCGCACTCACTTACCCAGAAGTTTGCCTTGAACAGCGAGCCCGTCATGCCGGCGCGGAGGTCTGGGCGCGGAGGACAGCGGGTGACGGCGGAGGACAGCGGCCGGCGACCGAGGGAGGACACCGGGCGGGATCGCGCTGGAAGCTCGGACCGTCAGGGCCAAGGTCCGGCGCTACTTCGGAGTTCCACTGTCGCTCCGGGAAGCCGCCCCGGGTCCTAAGCCACGCCCGATTGCGCCCGCCCCGCGCCCCGCCCGCGCCGCGCACCTGCGGAGGGCAGCGGTCCCTGACCCTAGGGCGCGGCTGCTCCGGCAGCTCAAAGGAGAACGGTCGGAGCCCCATACTGAAGGACGCCTGAACGACTGACAGAACTAGTCTTTCTCCCTCTGGAAGCCCACTCCTGGTTCTACACGTCAGGCCCCCTCGACCTCGTATCCCAGACTGTGGATCAACGGAAACCTGAAGACACTGAAAGCCAGAGACAGACAGCGGACAGCGCCAGGCTTTGCTTATGGTACCGATGCTACAAGGAATGGAGTGCACGCACTGACCTGGGGGTGACTGCAGGTTTTAGTCTAAAATGCCAAGAAAAATGCATTACCGATGTTATCCGTCAGCTCTACATATCTTAACTTGTACTCAGTTAAGGACCTTTCTCCACCACCAGTCTTACCCATCAGTAAGAGCTGACTGCTTCCCTCGCCCTCCAGACTACAGAAAAAGAGGTTCACACTTGTAATCCCAGTACTGAGGAAACTGAGACCAGAGAGTGTGAGTTTCAAGTCCAACATGGGCTACAGAGTGAGGAAACCTTGCCTCATAAACAAACCAGCCAAATAGGACCCAGGGCAAGTCAGACCCTCCTTGCCTGGTAGTGGAAATCTGGGCCCAACCTAAAACCCAGAGAGGCTGAAAGAGTTGCCCAAATTCACGCTTCTTTAGGGGATGAAGAGACCAAAGTTAGAAGTCTGTCCTTTCTAATAAGGCAAAAGACTTGGTGCCACGACTTCCTGGGTAAGAAGTAAGTGCTCTTGGTGACTGTCTTAAGTGTCATCCTAGAGCCTTCATCCAGTAACTGATGGAAGCAGAAGCAGAAATCCACAGCTAAGCACTGAGCCAAACTCCTGGAATCCAGTTGTAGAGAGGGAGAAGTGATGAGCAAAGGGGTCAAGACCATGCAAGGGAAACCCACAGAAACAGCTGACCTGAGCAAGTGTGAGCTTATGGACCCCAGACTGACACCTGGGGAACCAGCATACAACAGAACCATGAGGCCTGGGCAGTCTATGGGGCTGCTGGCAGTGGAACCAGTATTTATCCCTAGTGCACCAACGGACTTTGGGAGCCCATTCCACATGGAGGGATACTCTCTCAGCCTAGATATATGGGGGAGGACCTAGGCCCTGCTCCAAATGATGTGACAGACTTTGATGATCCCCCATGGAAGGCCTCAGTCTCCCTGGGGAGTGAATGGGTGTGGGGGGGTCCATGGGAGGCATGGGAGGATGAGAGGGAGAGGGAATTGATATGTACAACAAGATTGTTTCTAATTTAAATAGAAAGTTATATATAAAAAGAAGAAGAAGTAAACGCTCAAAAGGGTGAGAATGAAGGTTAGGCTACCAAGACTGAGGACACTGAGCCCATTATCCGTCAGGCCAAAGCAAACGTTTGCCACTGCAACAAGTTCTAGTTAGATTCAGGCACAGTACAAGGCAATTGTGGATCAATTAGAAGACGCTCAGTAACTTCACCCCCAGTCCTTCCAGTTAAGGTCATCTGCAATGACAGGGATGAGAGAAGGTGCCCCCAGTCTGGTGACTCTTCAAGGACATGTGTCCTTTTACCTGGCTCTTCATGAGCATTCACAACAGAGACTAAGGGATACTCACTGCTTTTCCAGGGGACTTGGTCCAGTTCCCAGCATCCATATGGCAACTAGCAACTGTCCCTCAGCCCAGATCCAGGGAATCTAACACCCAGTAAGTAAATTTTGGCTAGCAAAGACATGCAGATGGTGCACAGACATACACGCAGGCAAAAGACTCATGCACATGAAATAATAAGCTGAGGTGGCCAAGGCGGGGAAGCCTGGCTAACCCTGCAAGGAGCAGCAGAGACCAGGCACGCATCAGGAGGGTAAAGATAAGCGGTACTGCAGGGGTGGGTGAACCACACGACACAGGGGATAGGAAGCTGGAGTGCTGGAGAGTACCACAACTATCCCTGGAAGTTTTTGTTTTTAGTTTGGGTTCCTCCTTGCCTCCCCACCCCCTGCCCCATCCCCTCTGCCTCTCTCTCTCCTCTGGGTGTTGAAACCAGAGCCCCTGTCCTAGTGTTAAGTTTTTTGTTGCTTGCTTACTTGTTTTTGAGACACCGTCTTATTAAGTTACCTATGGTGGCCTTGAACTCACTCTGTAGCCCAGACAGGTCTTAAATTAGCAACTTTCCTACCTCAGCCTCCAAAGTTGCTGGAATTATAGGTGTGTGCCATCATAGCCATCAGGAAGCTTTGATAGCTATCTTACATGAAATTCTCGTTATCTATATTTTAATTTTTTCCTGGTTTTGACTTTCTTTTTTTTTTTTCAAGACAGAATCTCACTATATAGCTGTGGCTGTCCTACAACTCACTATGTAGACCATGCTTGCCTCAAACCCACAGGGAGACACCTGCCTCTGCCTCCCAAGTGCTTGGATTAAAGGAATGTGCCACTATGTCTCACTTGTATTTTAATTTGTAATGTGTATATTGCTTTTAAATCAGTCTGAAGTCTTAAGTCAGGCCCCCAATTCGACAACAGTGCACTTGGTTTTCAGGATGCAGGCTTCTAAGATCTCTGGGTTTTAACTCTCTTCCACCCTCTGGTGGTACAATTGAAAATTGAAAGTGGCTGTTCAGGCTACTAGAAAATACTCTCCAACTATGTTTGTTGTTGTTGTTGTTGTTGTTGTTTATTAGATTGTTTATCTATTAAATGTGTGCTTGGTAAAGATGGAGGCCTGTGTATGCCCATGTTCTGCTCCCTTGGGACCAGCCTCCAACAGTGCAGGGCTCAAAGGGAATCCACACAGACGGCCCATACTATAACTTTTTTATCTGAGGTGTCAAGGAAAAGTTTTAGATGGTGTCCTTCTTTATTCTTCTGGGTTCTTCATTCTGTGTTCTATGTCTCTTTTCTTATCTCTATCCAGAAATGTACCTTCCATCTCTCTTGATGTTTCCTTCTAATTCTATCTGTATTCTTCCTTATTTTCCTATTCTTGATGTTTGCCTTCTAAGTTTCTCATTCTTGGTGTTTTCCTTCTAACCCATCTTAACTCTCTCTTTATTCTTTCCCTTACATCTCATATGTCCCAACAAAATCTTTCCAGCAATATAAAAGTTACAATGTGGTTACATTTTCAAGTGAATGAGTACAATGAATACAAGTAAAAAAACGGCATGTTTTCCATGTCCCTTACATGATTGAACATTTTACATACCACAGGTGAGAAACAAATTATTCCAAGAACCCACATACATTCATACCCAAGCAATTTGTTATATATTAATCATGTAGGCAAGCAAGATATTCTTCTCAGTCTGATCTTTTACTGGCAGGCTTCATTTTGCAGTTACAAAGAAAAGGTCAATTACTTTATTACTTATCTTAAAAGGTAATCTTACACGGAATCTTAAAGGGATCACAAACTTAAATTTCTATATATGCAAAAGAATTTCAGTCAGCTCTACTTTAAACCTTTAGGGTGCACACCCACTCATCAATTTTTTTTAATATCAGGAGATTCAGGGCATAAATGGGTGTAAGGAATTGATCATCACCTTTGATCATCAGCTAACCCTAGCAAGGAAAGTACATCAGCTAGTAACAATTGGGCTGTTTTGTATTTTGTTCCCTGACCTTAAAGAGTTCCTCACTCAACTATGTGCCTTTCTAAAATTTGAAATTGTCTTCTTGGGTTTTTCACCTCAAAACTATTGTCAAGACATCTGATCTGACCTGAAGTTATTTTAAGGCTCTGTTTCAGCTAATGATGCACTCTGAAACCTGTGAACACATCTCCCAACATTAAGGTTAAAAGAATTTAAACTAGACCGGACGTTGGTGGTGCATGCCTTTAATCCCAGCACTCAGGAGGCAGAGACAAGCGAATCTCTGTGAGTTCAAGGCCAGCCTGGCCTACAAAGCAATACAGAGAAACCCTGTCTCGGAAAAAAAAAAAAAAGAAAGAAAGAAAGAAAGCTGGGCTTCTGGGACCCAATTTCTTTTGGTTTGGTTTGGTTTGATTTTTCGAGACAGGGTTTCTGTCTCCAACTCACAGAGATTGGCCTGCCTCTGCCTTCCGAGTACTGGAATTAAAGGCATGTGCCACCAATGCCTAGCTCAATTGTTTTTCTTAATCATTAACCTAAGCCACAATCTATATGACTCCTCAATAGAAACCCATGTGCCCTAGCTGTGTGACACTTCCTTGTTTTATTTTTGAATCATAAAAACTCTGTGTAAGCTAACATTATTATCAATTAGACAATACAGCTTAGGAAGAAATCATCTTCATAATAGTCTACAGGTAAAAATGCCCAGGAGAACAGGATGTTTCCATGAGATAAACACACCACATTACAGGCAGTGGGGGTCTCCCCACACACATTCACACCATGCCAGATACCAGAGAAAGATGGCAGCAGCAAACACGTAAAGGCACAGCAGAAACGAAAGACATTCTGGGGCCCGTGCTCTCGGGCCTTGCCTGTCCGAGTTTCACCCATCAGGGATTTTCCTCCTGGTGGACTGACACCTGAACTTCAGTTACCACCTGCTGTTCCTCTGACACGGCCACTGGCAACCATGATATGTGTGGTTGACAGAGGACCTCTGGGGATCAACCTCAAGTCTTCATGGTTGGCAAAAAGCACTTTACCCACTAGCTAGGCCATGGGGGTGTTTTGTGGGTCTTAAAAAAATACTTATTTCTATTTGTTTATGTGTATGTGTGGAGGACCCTCATGGGTAGTCATGTGGAGTATACTTCTGTTCCTCCACTAGAAGAGGGTGTAGGAGCCCCTGGAGCTGGAGCTATGGAGAGTTGTGAGCCACACCACATGGGTGCTGGGAACTGAACTTGGGTCCTCTGGAAGAGTAACTGATACTCACTCCTAACCACTAAGCCTCTCCAGCCCCTCCTTAAATGTCTTTAAACA